TATGAGCGAGAAAGGGATGAAGACACTTTTGTCAAAAGGGAAGCTGCTGGATCTAAAGAATGTAGATATCGAACTATGTGAGGATTGCATCTTTGGCAAACAAAAGAAAGTCAGTTTTGCAAAGATTGGCAAGACATCCAAGGCAGAAAAGTTAGAGTTGGTTCATACTGATGTATGGGGACCATCTCCAGTTTCATCCCTTGCAGGCTCACTATATTATGTCACCTTCATCGATGATTCAACAAGGAAGGTGTGGGTTTATTTTCTGAAGAAGAAATCAAAAGTCTTTGATACCTTCAGAAAATGGAAGGCCATGGTGGAAAACGAGACTGGTTTAAAAGTCAAGCGGTTGAGGTCTGATAATAGAGGAGAGTGCAAAAATAGTAGATTCAGAGAATTTTGTGCAAACAATGGGTTCAAGATGGAGATAACAGTTCCCATGACACCGCAACAGAATGGAGTAGCAGAGCGTATGAACAGAACTCTGAATGAACGTGCCAGAAGCATGAGGATACACGCCGGCTTGCCCAAATTGCTATGGGCTGAAGCTATCAACACTGCAGCTTACCTGATCAACCGTGGGCCCTCAGTTCCTTTAGATGGCAGAATACCAAAGGAAGTTTGGAGAAAGAAAGAAATAAACCTTTCACACTTAAGAGTGTTTGGTTGTATTTCTTATATACACATAGACTCTGCTGAAAGAAGTAAACTTGATGCTAAGTCCAACAAATGTGCATTTGTTTGTTATGGCGGTGATGAGTTCGGTTACCGGTTTTGGGACTATGAAAATCGGAAGATCATCAGAAGCAGAGATGTCATTTTCAATGAGAATGTGACGTATAAAGACAGATCAACCATAGAATCAAGTAGATTAAACACCGAAGCTGAAACAAAGGAATTTGTTGAGTTCAAGGAGATTTCTGGAAATGATGTTCAGATCAGTCCTGAAGCAGTTCAAGAAGAACCAGGCACACCGGAACTAAGACGCTCCTCCAGAATTCCTAAACCAACACATCGGTATTCTACTTCTTTGTACTACTTGTTGCTGACTGACAATGGTGAACCTGGGTGTTATGATGAAGCAATGCAAGTGGAGGATTCAGTCAAGTGGGAGTCTTCCATGAAAGATGAGATGAACTCGCTTATGTCAAATCAAACATGAGAATTAGCTGAATTACCATCAGGCAAGAAAGCGCTTCATAACAAGTGGATTTATAGGATCAAGGAAGAGCACGATGGGAGCAAACGCTACAAAGCAAGATTGGTTGTCAAAGGCTTTCAGCAAAAAGAAGGTATTGACTACAATGAAATTTTCTCTCCAGTTGTAAAATTGTCTACAATCAGACTGGTGTTGAAAATTGTAGCTGCAGAGAATTTACATATTGAGCAGTTAGATGTAAAGACAACTTTCCTTCATGGTGATTTGGAGGAAGAAATCTATATGATGCAGCCAGAAGGCTTCATAGAGGCAGGAAACAAAAATCTGGTATGCAAATTGAAGAAGAGCTTGTATGGTTTAAAACAAGCTCCTAGACAGTGGTACAAGAAGTTTTATAGCTTCATGAGTAGCAGTGGTTTTACCAGATGCCAAGCAGATCATTATTGTTATATCAAGAGGTTCGACAATAGCTTCATTATTTTACTGTTGTACGTTGATGACATGCTCGTTGCAGGCTCAGACATGCAAGAGATTATAAACTTGAAGAAAAAATTATCGAAGCAGTTTGCTATGAAGGATTTGGGCGCTGCAAAGCAGATTCTTGGGATGAGGATTAAGAGAGACACAAAGTCGGGGACTTTGATGTTATCACAGGCTGAGTACATCAACAAAGTACTCTCCAGGTTCAACGTGCAAGATGCTAAACCAATAAGTACACCTTTAGCTGTTCAATTTAGACTTTCCGAAGAACAGTTACCAAAGACGAAGGAAGAACGTGCACACATGGTGAAGGTGTCGTATGCCTCAGCAATTGGAAGTCTGATGTATGCCATGGTTTGTACCAGACCAGATATTGATTATGCAGTGGGAACTGTTAGCAGGTACATGAATAATCCAGGCAAGGTACACTGGGAAGTAGTCAAATGGATCCTCAGATATCTACGGGGTACCACAAACAAATCACTTTGTTTCAAAGGTGGAGATACGATACTAACAGGCTATGTTGATGCTGACTTAGCCGGAAATGTCGACATTAAAAGAAGCACTACAGGGTATGTCTATACTCTAGGAGGAACTGCAGTGAGTTGAGTTTCTTAAATACAGAAGATAATTGCTCTCTCCACAACTGAAGCAGAATATGTCGCTGTTACGAAAGACAGCAAGAAGATGGTTTGGCTCCAAAGTTTCTTGGAAGAGTTAGGCAAGAAACAAGAAAACAATATCTTGTATTGCGACAGTCAAAGTGCTATACATCTAGCAAAGAATCCATTTTTTCATTCTAGGACAAAGCACATACAATTGAGATATCATTTTATCTGGTCTTTTCTGAAAGATGGGATTTTGAAACTTGAAAAGATTAGTGGAGCTCAAAATCCGGCAGACATGTTGACAAAGACGGTGACTACGGACAAACTTGAGTTGTGTTCAACTCCAGTTGGCATGCTAGAGTAACAAGACTAGCAAAGCTGCTGCATTGATCGAGGTGTGAAGACAGATTAAAATCAGTTTTCAAGTGGGAGATTGTTAAAAGTTCAAAGTTTGGCAACCAACTTTGAAAAAATGATTTTTAAAGTTTAGTAAATGTTTCTTTGAAAATAGTTTTCAAAGTTTAGTAAATGCTTCTTTGAAAAATGGTTTTTCAAAGTTTGGTAGGTGTTTGTTAAAAAATTGTAATGAGATAATTATTATTAGTCACTGGACTTTAGGGTATTTATAAGATTAGTCCTTAACCTTCAACTATAAATACCCTAGCTCATTTAGCTTCAAAATCATCCCAAAAATCATTTCTTTCTCCCAATACTAGATAACTTTCTTGTGAGTAGTGAGTGTTTTGTAAACACTTGTAAATTTTCTCTCTTAGTCAAAGATCTGCAGTAGTCCGGAGACGTAAGCAAATTGGTTGAACTTCATTATCAATTTCATGTAATATTTTTCCGTTTTTATTTCGCATTCTCACTAATCTAGTTATAAGAAAATTACTCTTTGCTCGCTTTATTTCCCAACACATGCAAGTTGCTCAAGCTGGTCACAAACCTTTTAGGGATCTCAACTGTTTGCATGAAATAATTTGGGAATTGGAAAGAGAGTAGCTTTGACAAGCATGACACGACCGGCCAAGGAAAGCTTAGTTGCCGTCAAATTATTTAATTTATTTTAGATTTTAGCGATGATAAATTGAAACGTACTTTTGATAACCTTGATATAAAACAACGACATGCCCAAATAATTCTCCAAATCCGTGGACCGTTGGAAGCCCAAAGATGAGCACCAATCATATTCTTGTCCACATTAATGGAGAAGAAAGCTTTAGTTTTATTAGAATTCACTTTGTGACCCAAGGACTTACTGAATTGGTCGAGGATAGTCCTCAAGAGGTGAGCCTGACTTCTCGAAGCTTTGCAAAGAAGAACCAAATCAGCTAAAAAAAAGAAATGAGATAGAGAAAATTCACTACGAGAGAGGATCATAGACTCCCAAAGATCGACATCCAAAAAACAAAGAATCATGCTAGTGCAAGTGAACTCGTGAAACAAAACTGAAATTGAGTTAATAGCAAAGCCCTTTAAAGATGATCAAAACTCGAATTTTTATATATATATTTTTATTTACATAGACACATAATTTAAAATAAATAAATTTGAACCCCTGATTTTTATTTTAAGAATATAATATTTTATCATTTAAAACGTTAATTTATATTTAAAACAAACCTTTATTTATTTTTATCATAAATGGTATATTCAATGTGCTTTTTGAATCTCAAAACTCTACTTTACAGGGGTAAATTGATGGCAGTAATGCAGCTGGATAAATTATTTAGCCCAATAAGATAGTTCAAAGTTTATTTTGTGATCTACGATATTTACTATAATGAAAGGTGAACTAATCATGTGGAGGCGACGAGTTTTAAATAAAATATTTTTTATTCAAACTTGTAACGTGAGCATGACGAGTTTCAAAAAAAATATATTTTTTTATTAGAATATGTCCCGTTGAGGTAAAAAAATTCAATAAAAATATTAGTTATTAAAACTCGTCATGCCACGTGACGAGTTCCAATCCACTATAGTAAATGTCATAAATTGCTAATTAATTTTTGAGTGTCTTAAAAACCTAAAAAATTACTGCGTAAAGATTATTGGACTAATTTTATCCTTTATGGGGCACCTAAACATCTTTACTTAAACTAATATATCACGAGTCAATCTCAATCATCAATTTTCACTCATCTAATGATTCTAAATTTGTGTAAAACTAAAGAATTTTGTAAATGGATCATAACTTATATATATATATATATAATCACTTTTTATTATTCGATATTACTAATTTATATTTTTAATATATACCGTTCTTTTTTATATGATATAAAAAACTTGAAAGAAAAAAAAAAGACAAACAAATTAAGGAAAGAAGTAGTAAGTAAAGCATATGAGAGGAAAGACAAATCAAGAGAAATATATTACCATAATCTCATCACTAAAAACCCCTCGCAATATTAAAGACAGATCATATCATTAATTGTTAGGTTTTAAAAATTGGTACATTAACAAAATTTGGATTCATACGTTAATGCTCAAACAAACAAATTAAGTGAATCAAACCATATAATCTAATACAATTCAATGTATGTACACACGATAAAATAATAACTTTTACGATATTATTGGTATCTAATTTATTAATTAAATAATTTATATTTATATTTATAGAAAGTATTACTAGCTCAATTTACTTAAATTTTATCTTTTTCTCCTTTTTCAAAGTTTACTGGTATTTATCTCTTTAACCAGCGTAGCGCTTTTATATATATATATGTGTGTTGCATATGCGTTGCCTTTTTTTCTCTGTAGTGTTAGTCTGTCGTTTGTGTTCTTCTTGGAAGGTTTAATTTTTGTTTTGATTCTTGTCCATGGCCGCCATGGCTTGTCTTCCAAGAAGACTTTCTCAAATCACATTATTCAATACCAAAAGGTTGAGCCTTTACTGCATCGCTCTCATGGTAATCTTATGCACTTCTTTTTACCTCATCGGAATATGGCAACACTCCATCGGCCTCATCCCCACCTCCTCTTCCTCCGCCGTCGCATCCGGTGGTGATGGATTCCAATCCTCAGCCTCTTGCTCTCCTCTCAAAACAACCACCCAACTCGACTTCTTGCCTCACCATCTCCCTCCCGACCCTCCATCCGAGACGGCGCGTGTCATTCGCTTTCCTCCGTGTGACCCTTCCTTGTCTGAGTACACCCCGTGCGAGGACGTTCAGAGATCTTTGAAATTCGACAGGGACATGCTTATATACAGAGAGAGGCATTGCCCGGAGAAAGACGAGCTGTTGAAGTGCAGAATCCCGGCGCCGTACGGTTACAAGGTTCCTTTCAGGTGGCCGGAGAGTAGAGAGTTTGCATGGTTCGCTAACGTGCCGCATAAAGAGCTTGTCGTCGAGAAGAAGAATCAGAATTGGGTTCGGGTCGAAGGAGAGCGGTTCAGATTCCCCGGCGGTGGCACAATGTTCCCACGTGGCGCCGATGCTTATATTGACGATATCGATAAGCTGATCAGTCTCAAAGATGGCTCCATAAGAACCGCCATTGATACCGGTTGCGGGGTACGTTCTCATGTTATATTTATACCCTTTTTTTACTTTTTACGTTCATGCTTAAATGCTTATTATCAAACCGCGACAGCTGGTTCAGTTTTGAATCGGCTCTTCTTCCCATTGTTTGGAGAGATGGAAAGTTGGTTGGAAGTTGCAGGAAAAGAAAGGTTAAAGTTGTTCCTCTGATTATTTTCTTTTGTTTTACTATAAGAATTCGATATTTTTTTAGGAAAGATCGATAAACGTTACGTGTATAGTTCTATTTTGCCAGTTTTACTGAGTTGTCTAAGAAAATCAACCAAGACCCAGAAGAGAGTAAATCATAATTGCTCAAATTAAAGCCTCCATAGTGGGAAAGAATCTGGGTTTTTGATATTGCCAGCAAGGAATTAAACCAGACAGATACCTTTATTGGCCTATGCTTTTATTGGAATCCACAAATAAAAAAACTTTCCATAAATGGTGTTAATTAAGGAGATTCCTTGTTTTTTAGCCATTTAGGTCAACATAATATACAAAAGTAGGTGACGAGAGTTGCTTCGATGTCAAAACTTCCACTTCTCTTTATCTGTTTATGCTTATCTTTTAGAATATTCTCTGATGTCAGGTGAATTTGTTCGACAAAGGCCAAGTATTTGCTTAGACCTTATCGCCCACCTGAGTTAAACCCTAAAATTAATTAGCATACTGAATATCATACTTTGGAATGGAATGGGTTTCATATCGAGATTATAACTTCTGACGTTATTGATACTGGACCGCGTGATTACAATAAATATTTTAATGCTGGTTTTTGTTTTGAACCAATTGATAAGGTTGCGAGTTGGGGTGCTTACCTGCTATCCCGGAACATCCTAGCAATGTCGTTTGCACCGAGGGATACCCACGAAGCTCAAGTTCAATTCGCACTCGAAAGAGGCGTGCCGGCATTGATCGGCGTCATTGCCTCGATAAGGCTTCCGTATCCGTCGAGAGCCTTCGACATGGCTCATTGCTCTCGTTGCCTCATCCCATGGGGCCAGTATGGTAAACAATCTTTGTCTTCCAACTAAAACACATTGCGTTACCATTGTCGGAAAATGATTAATGGTTTCCATGTTTGATGTTCAGATGGACTTTACTTGATTGAAGTCGATAGAGTCCTTCGTCCCGGCGGTTATTGGATACTGTCGGGGCCGCCGATAAACTGGGAAAAGTATTGGAAAGGTTGGAACCGGACGACCGGTGACCTTAAATCAGAGCAGTCGCAAATCGAAACGGTAGCTAAAAGCCTGTGCTGGAAAAAACTTATACAGAGGGATGATCTCGCGATATGGCAGAAACCTACTAATCATATACATTGCAAAGCTAACCGGAAAGTTTTCAAAAGGCCTCGGTTTTGCCAGGCTCAGAATCCCGACTCGGCATGGTGAGACCATTTTTCGAATTTGGATTTTTATTTTTCATGAAAAAATTGTATCCGATATTCACGTAAATCATTACATCAGGTACACAAAATTGGAGACATGTTTAACCCCATTGCCCGAAGTGTCCAATGTAAATGAAGTCGCCGGTGGGAAATTAGCAAAATGGCCGGAGAGGTTAAACACAGTCCCTCCGAGGGTCACCAGTGGAAGTTTACCGGGAATTACAGGGAAAACGTTTGTGGAAAATTCAGATCTATGGGAGAAGAGAGTAGAGTATTACAAGACAATAGATTATCAACTGGCGGAGACCGGTCGGTACCGGAACTTGTTGGATATGAATGCTTATTTGGGAGGATTTGCAGCAGCTCTAATCGACGATCCTGTCTGGGTGATGAACACTGTACCGGTCGAAGCCGATCAAATCAACACCCTCGGTGTCGTCTACGAACGTGGACTGATCGGAACATATCAAAATTGGTATCTTCTTTTTGTCCATTTATTACCCTTTTTGTTATTCGTCTTCCTTCCACCGATCATGTTTTTTCTTTCTTTGATCGTAGGTGTGAAGCAATGTCTACGTATCCACGGACTTATGATTTCATTCATGCCGATTCCATTTTCAGCCTCTACATGGACAAGTAAGAACAGAAACTTCAAGCAAAACCCAAACATAAAACTGTGTTTCGTTTGATCATCATCAATGGAACCGATTGTTTTGTGCTGCAGATGTGAAATGGAGGACATAGTTTTGGAAATGGACAGGGTTTTAAGACCAGAAGGGAGTGTAATAATCAGGGACGACGTTGATGTGCTGGTGAAGTTGAAGAACATCATGGACGGCGTGCAATGGGATGGAAGGATCGTAGACCATGAAAATGGACCCCATGAAAGAAACAAGATTCTCTTTGCCGTTAAACAGTACTGGGTTGCGCCTCCATCGCCGACTAAACTAAATCAGCAAGTATAAATAATGTTTGGCTCTGCTTTGTTGTTTATTTATGCATAATTTTTTAGATAAGTACATATTCATCCTTATAAATTTGAATATGGAATTAAGGGACTAGTCCAGCAGTGATTTAAATTTTATATATAGTTCCAACGGATACTTGTTTTATAATTTTACCTTGTTCCATCAATTATATTTGATTTTTTTAATCTAAAGGTTTTATCCATTAACAGAAAAGATTTAAATAAAAGTATTACTATGTCAAAAATTAGTTTTTAAGTTGTTTTTATTTTAATCATTAAAATTATTATTGTTAAAATTATTTATTTTAATTATTCAATTATTATATCATCTTAAATATTAAAAAATATAAAAATCGACAAAATTAGACAATTATTCCATATTTTAGTAACATTATTATTTCTTTAATTTATTTCTCATCCACAATAGTTTCGTTAAAGAAGCCAGCAATTCTGATAACTTGCATCACATTGTTCATTCCCACCTATTTGGCTATTTGCAAACTGAAAACGACATCGTTTTACAATGAAAAGACAAGTAGTATTTGCAAACCGAAAACGGCATCGTTCAGACGGCATGGCATGCTAACGTCTGGAAGTTGTCACTTGTTGCCGACTCTTTCCTCCCCTCCCCGGAACCCGTCACTATTACTGTGATAAGCTAAAACAGTTCACAGACAAACCCTAACCCTAAGAATTCATAAATTTCAGATATCCTTTCATTTATATTTCTTTCAAAAAAAAAAATTAAACAATGGTTGGAGAAGACGACATCTCGAATCCACTAATGGAGGAGATGTGTGCGAACGGCATCGGGGATGTAGACGATGCGCCGTCATCCTCAACGTCGACAACGGAGCGGAAGTTCCGGCCCATCATTAGTGGCGAACACCTAGACATTGAGGCCTACGCTGCGTTTTACTCCGGCCATACCAAGATCATGCGGCTCATATTCATCGCCGACCACTGCGACAATACCGCAGTATAATTGGAAGCCCTAAGGATGGCTTACGATGAGCTCAAAAAGGGGGAGAACAATCAGCTATTCCGTGAAGTAGTCCAGAAGATCGACGGTCGATTGGGTCCGAACTATTCGATGGATGCCGCCTGTTGCGCTATGGTTGATCAAAAAGCCGAGCAAAGGAAAGAGAAGCTCGAGAGTGAACTCAATGTCTACTGGGTAATTTTATCTTTCTTACTAATGTTATTTTCTAGAAACTATTTAGTTCTTTTAATTTGTTTGGTTTCTAACTTTCAGATTAATTTAATCAAAGAAAGTATAAGAATGGGTTACAATGATTTTGGAGATTTTTAATATGCTCATGGTTCACTTGGGGATGCTTTTAAAAGCTATGTTCGAACTCGAGATTACTGTACTACGTCAAAGCATGTTATTCAAATGTGTTTGAGCGCAATTCTTGTGAACATTGAGATGGGTCAATTTTCTCATGTGAGAAGCTACGTTAGTAAGGCTGAATAAACACCCGAGGCACTTGACCCTCCCACTACTGCTAAGCTACGATGTGCCACCGGATTTCCTCATTTGAAGGCTAAGAAATACAAGCTAGCTGCTCGGAAGGTTTTTCAGCTTATAAATTGTTTTTTGATCTTGCAAAATTCAAATGTTGCAATTTTTCAGCTTACAATGATTTAGGATCGTTACATGCACTATCTTTTATTCCTGATATGTTGAATTTGAGATATGTCTGAAGTGTGTAGTATTTACTTATGGTCCTTTACTAAGTCATTTTCTAGAACGTGAGTTCAGAAGCAATTTAAGCCACACAATTTGGTTTGAAATCTTGTCCTATAAGATCAAAATATATGTGACTTGATCTTGAGCCCAATAAGTTCAATGAACCTAGTGTAAACAATCTACATTTTAAGCATGCCCGGAGCATTGCTTTCCTCAAAGGAAGCCTGGAATCCTTTATGGCGTTGGATTTGGTGGAGGACATTATGGTAGAAAACTTAAAGAGAGTTAATTTGATGGACTAAAAAGAAAACTAGTATTGTAGTGTTCGTTCTGATGCTATTGCAGTGCGATGGTTGTGTACCTCAAGGATTTAGTTCTGCTTCCTTTATCTGGATCAATCCCTAAAAGTTTGTTGACCTGATCAATTCCTAGTTTGCGTACTATGCTTTTTGTTGCCGAGGCATCCGTCTGTTGGTCATCTTGTATTGGTTATTAATATGAAATGTAACAGGCGGGATTTTGTGATTAGTTTTATTTTGAGCAATTACCATTTCATTGCTGGATTGATTGTCTTTTCTATGCGTGCAGTTCTTGGAAGTGGGTCCTGAATTGGGGAATTCATACAGTGAAGTCATTGCTCCTCAAGATGTTGCTACTTTGGTGTATTTGTGCACTTGCGAGCTTTGGTCGAACTGAACTGAAGGCATGAATCTCTCTAGTCCCCTTTCTTTATTTTCTGGTAATGTCTTACTGTCGTTTGATAGATTTGTAGTCATGCAATGTATTTTACTTTGCAGAACAAAGTTATTGACAATATCAACTTCAGGGATTTCTTGGAGTTGGTACCTGAAGTAAGGGAGCTTATTGATGATTTTTATTCAAGGTATTATCTAAGTAATATGTAGTGAATTTTCTGTGGTTAATATTATAATATACAATTTTTTGTCATGCGACTCTGCGTTTCAGCCAGCCCTTACTCCTTACATGTGCGCAATTGATGTGAAACACTTACTTTTAACTTGTGGCTTCGTTTTTATTGCAGCCATTATTTGGAGTATCTTGGAAACCTCAAATCCAACCTGATGCTTGACATTCATATGCATGACCATGTTGAGACTCTGTATAATCAAATCCGGAGCAAAGCCCTCATCAAGTATACCCACCCATTTGTGTCTGTTGATATGCAAATGATGGCTGATGCCTTTAAAACAAGTGTTGCAGAACTTGAGAAAGAACACGAATCCTTGATTACTGACAACCGGATACAGGTATTGTTTTTCACCAGTATCTCGCTTAAGTTTAGTTGGTGCATACACGCATTGTTTTATATGTGATGTTATTTTTCAAATATCCATCTGAAATTGATTATTTAATTAATCGTTCTCTCTTTGTTTTCCAATGAGAGCGATTTTACTCATTAGACTGGAGTTGGCATTGATCATTTTTAATAGGGATCTATCAGATAGTGAAGAGAAGTACAAATAAAGTGAATTACCTAATTTCTGATCAGAGCCTTCCCAAACTAAGGAAACAGTTGGAGGGGGAAGTAGGGTTGATTCTTGTTAATGCGCTTGGATCCCTGTGGTAAAGGATGCCATTTTGAGTGAAATCAAATGGACCTCTTCAAATTCAGTTACATCTGAATGTAACCTTTACAATGAAGATTATAAATGTCTGTGCAGGCATGGATTGACTCGCACAACAAATTTCTTTATGCACGTCACGCCGATCAAAGAAGCGCAACTTTCTGGTGTGTTTTGCAGACTGGCAATGAATTTGATTGGGATGTTAGAGCAATGCTGTTGAGAGCAAACTTCTGATGCATGAATACATTCTTAGGGCTTCTAGGAAAATCTGAATTCTAGTTTGAATAATTACCAAGATTTTCTTGATAAGGTTCCTTATATTGCCGGGCCTGGATTCTTGTCCATGCCGGCATTGACCTTAAAGAAGGAGATTAGCTGTCCAGGATGGTGGATTTGCATTTTGATGGTTCTGGGACACACTGTTCTGTATATACTCAAAATTTATCTCATGAGTTGGAATGTTTTGTTTTTCTTTAATAATTTTTTTGCCCTGGTTTTGATTTTATTAATTGTTAATTATTATTAGTGGATAGTATTATATTAATTCCCAACAAGGAACAAATCCCAAAGCTATGATGTTGACAGTTGACACCAACACAAATGCATTAATTTTCCACATACATATTAATGTAAAGATTAATTTAGTGGCAGAAAACAAAATCTATGGGTTTGTACTATTAAGTACATTAAATTCTCAGCCTCCCATCGTCCCCATATCCCAATCCCATAAGCTTATCTCACAATTTCTCTAATCCTCGAAGCCTCACTTCTCGAGTTCTAAAAGCATTCCACCGGTAAGTTCCATTTTGCTCCCCAATCTGATAATAACCCATCGTTCATTCGCACAGATCCAATCTGGATCCACAGCCAAAGCCTGTGATAGAACCTTTACCCTCGACGATCCAGAAACATGGGTCACTTAAATCTACCGGCATCCAAACGGAACCCGCGGCAATGGAAGCTTTTGGACTTCATATCCGCCGTGTTCTTCGGCCTCGTACTCTTGTTCTTCCTGCTAGTATTCACCCCTCTCGGGGATTCCATGGCTGCCTCTGGTAGGCAAACCCTGTTGCTTTCCACGTCGGATCCGAGGCAACGGCATCGTTTGGTATCGTTGGTGGAACTCGGCCACCACCACAAGCCAATCGAAGCGTGCCCCGCCGATTCCGTTGATCATATGCCGTGTGAGGACCCAAGGCGTAACAGCCAGCTGAGCAGGGAGATGAATTTATATAGAGAAAGGCATTGCCCTTTGCCTGATGAAACGCCTCTTTGCTTGATCCCTCCTCCTCCTGGTTATAAGATTCCTGTTCAGTGGCCTGAAAGCTTACATAAGGTATCTTTTCTTATTCGTTAACAATTTTGAGGATTTCCTGGGGCTTCTTTTTCTTTATTATTATCAGTATATAAAATTTTTCGCCGCTGTTGCCATAAAGTAATCCCTTTCAGAAACGGAAGTAGATTATTAGTGTTATACTTGAAACAGTTTTAATTCTGTAATGTTTAGATATGGCATTCCAATATGCCACACAACAAAATTGCTGACAGGAAAGGTCACCAAGGATGGATGAAAGAGCAAGGTCCCTATTTTATTTTCCCTGGTGGTGGAACAATGTTCCCTGATGGAGCTGCTCCATATATCGAGAAACTCGGGCAGTACATTCCCATAAATGGTGGAACTCTTAGGACTGCCCTTGATATGGGATGTGGGGTAAGTTGTTTTTTTTTTGTATAGCATGTTATTTTGTTATGATCATAGTATTGTACTGTTTGAATATCATCCTTATTAATCCTTTTGCAGGTTGCAAGTTTTGGGGGTTCATTGTTATCTGAAGGCATTTTGACACTCTCGTTTGCTCCTAGAGATTCCCACAAAGCACAAATACAATTTGCATTAGAAAGAGGAATACCGGCCTTTGTTCTAATGCTCGGCACTCGCAGACTCCCTTTTCCTGCATTTGCATTTGACTTAGTTCACTGCTCCCGATGCTTGATCCCTTTCACAGCTTATAGTGGGTGTTTGTGTGTGTGTGGAGTGTTTTTGATATATTCTTTTTTTATATCTCCTTATTTGGTGTTAACATGAGGATATTTGGCTTTTGCAGATGCAACTTATTTCGTTGAAGTGGATCGGTTACTACGTCCAGGTGGATATTTGGTCATCTCTGGACCCCCTGTACAGTGGCCTAAGCAAGATAAGGAGTGGGCAGACCTCCAGTCTGTGGCAAGTACATTGTGTTATGAGTTGATTGTTGTAGATGGGAATACGGTCATTTGGAAAAAGCCCGATGGAGATTCATGTCTTCTGAACCAAAACGAATTTGGGCTTGAATCTTGTGATCAATCAAATGACCCCAGTAATGCATGGTAATTGCTATGGAAAGCAATTACAATAATTTAGAATTCTTATTAGGCTCTGCCTTTTTTTTCTTCAAGAAATCAACATGGATTTCTACATAATTTAGCTGTATGATGGATGGTTCCTGGTTGCCACTCTTGTACTATTGGTTTTGTTTTTTCTAGAACTAAAATATTGCGTTATTCTCAGTTTCTTTTCTCTTTTGTTGGGTAGGTACTTTAAGTTAAGAAGATGCGTGGCTCCAACATCTTCCGTGAATGGAGAATTTCCGCTTGGGATGATTCCTAAGTGGCCAGACAGGCTAACAAGAGCTCCTTCAAGGGCTTTGGTCATGAGAAACGGGATTGATTTGTTTCAGGCAGACACAAGGCGGTGGACAAGGAGAGTTGCTTATTATAAGAATACTCTGCATCTGAAGCTTGGGACTCCAGCAGTGCGCAATGTCATGGACATGAATGCATTTTTTGGAGGTTTTGCAGCAGCACTTGCTTCAGATCCAGTATGGGTGATGAATGTTGTTCCTGCTTGGAAACCACTAACTCTTGGTGTTATATATGACAGAGGCCTTATTGGAGTATACCATGATTGGTGAGTTACTATAAGATTTTTCGTTATCCTTATTTACTGGAAAAGATAACAGTCTGTTACCCGTTCGAAAAAAAGAGTATATGATTAGTGCCTTGTCATTACTATCTATAACACTTTCCCAAGGAAATACCATGTTTGTTCATTTCTTCCCTAAGAAAACCTTTTAATGCTTATTCCTTTGATTGAACCTCCCATCACCCATGAAAATTGTAGTAGCTTGGATTAAGGTAATTTAGTTCGATGAGTGATTATTCAACTGGAGCAATAATTATTTGCTGAAGTGTTTAACTTTTAAACTAGATACTTGTTTAATCCTTATCATTCTCCTTTAATGTTTGTTATGGTTGCTTGTCTTCTGGATTCCTCTTTATTTTTAGGATTATGTATGCTTAGTCTTATAGGGTAAACTAGGGTTGTAAATGAGACGAGACAGATCGTGAGCTACTCGAGATTGACTTGGTCAAAGCTCGATCAACACTCGACTCGAGCTCGAACTCGACTCGAATTCTTAACGAGCTACTTAATACTCGACTCGAAAAGCTCGCGAGCTACTTGAAAAAAAATGTTATATTATAATTTTAGATTTTTTAAAATTATATTATTAAAAATACATTATTGATAATTATAATTTTTTAAAAATAAATTTTTAAATGTAATATAAGATTTTTGTAGGTTCAAATTCGAGTTTGAGTTCGAGTTCGAGCTTGAATCGAGCTCAAAATTGAGCTTCAATCGAGCTCCTAATTTTTTTTGAGTTCGAGCCTTTTCAAGTTCGAGTCGAGTTTCAATATTATATTTCGAGTTCGAGTTGAGCTTGATAATTTTTAGCTCACGAGTTTTCGAGTCGAGCCTAATTTTAAACTTTTCGAGTCGAGCTCGACTCGGCTCATTTACAGCCCTAGGGTAAACACTGTGATTACCTGATGATTTCGATTTCTTTTTGCAGGTGTGAGCCCTTTTCAACATACCCTCGTACTTACGATTTTATCCATGTAGCTGGCATTGACTCGCTAATAAAGCTTCCCGGTTCAAGCAAGAGCAGGTACATTTTCCTTTGGATTTGTACAAGCAATACAAGTTTCTGCACTCATCATTTTAGTTATGTGAGAAATCGAATGCCCGCTTATATCATACTTTTCTGTGCCTTAACCAACCTTATCCCGCCCCCCTTTTTTCAAGCTTCACTTCTAAAGTCGGTACAGAAAAAAAAGCATTCATTGCACCTTTATGTCCTATGGTAGTCATTGCATGTTGTGTCGCTGTTGAATGAACTCATGCAATGTTACTGCATGGATCACTCTGTTGGTTTACTTTTTGCATGTTTTGTCTGTCATCTTTTGACTTCGACAACTCTAATGTTCCTGCAGATGTAACCTTGTGGATCTAATGGTGGAGATAGATAGGATGTTGCGTCCAGAAGGAACTGTTGTGATTCGAGATTCTCCGGAAGTAATCGACAAAGTGGCTCGAATAGCTCACGCTGTAAGGTGGACACCCACCATACATGACAAGGAACCTGAATCACATGTGAGAGAGAAAATCCTGGTAGCAACGAAAACGTTTTGGAAGCTAACTTCAACTTCCCATTGAGACGGACTTGTTCGTTGTAATGCAGGTATAATCCTTTTCATTTTTGTTCATTTTATGAAGCCAAGTTGTCCTCCTCATGCATCAAATAGATGCAATCTTGATTCTTTTTTCCTTATTTGGTATATTTATATCACAAAATAGTAGATGTACAAAAAGTATAAAAAAATTATCAAAAGGCTACAGCTTTCTGGCAGTAGACATATAGCAATGACAATTGCAATTTATGTTAGCTGTAAGAACTGATTGTAAATTGACAGCATATATAGATTGTCATGAACTTGATGCTGATTCATTATTGTTTGACTATTCACCATGAAAGTGTTATCCAAGAACGTGGGGTTACTTGATTGAATATATATTTTTTAATTTTACACATTGTTAAGACCGTTAGATTAGTGAAAATAGATTGTGAGATTAATGGTAAGAAATGATAATATATTTGAAAGGGAAAAAAATAATGAGATAATATTAACTGTTCAAGTGGATCATCGGTGGAGAGAAGTTAGAAAATAACAAGGGGCGATGCTAAAAGTTTCAATCTTTGGAAAGTAAAAAGGCAGGCCCCCAATGGTAAGAAGTCAAGTGGAAAAAGGCATGGCCCTTTGGTTGTACCAAGAAGTTTGAAGTCAGATTTCATATTCAGTGCCAGTGGTTTGAAAAGAAGGAAAGATTGAACAACTTTTGGTGAAACCTAGTATTTGAAAAAAGAGAATGGCCAATAGGAACTCAAAAATAGTAAAATGGGGGAACCCACATGAAGCTGGAGGTTGAAGAAAACAGAGGGTGGGGGGACTTCAAAAAGTGGATGGAATTAAATGCCCCCCGTCATTAGACTAATTGCCTCACAACTCCAACCAAATACATAATTAGTAATAAATAATTCAGTATGAGATTGCCAGGTCCTTTGACCTAAGACTTTGATCCAACATTAATTGTTTCTTGTCATGGGAAAACTTTGGTTGAAGAATCGGTCGAGAGCTTAACTACCATTTTTACAAATATTTTATATTTTATCCATTAAACCATTGAAGGTTTGTATATAAGTTACCATGCAAGGTTGGAGTAGACAATTTTCACTCACTATTTTCTTCTTTAACTTACCAATTATTATATGCGACTCTCCATCTAAATAATAAAATGAAATATAAAATCCACCACAATTTTATTTTTTATCCATTAAACCCTTGAAGGTTCAATATGAAAGCTAACCACGAGACTAATGTTACACCCCATCTGTGAATATCAAAGATTGAAAGTGGGACATCCATGTGAGTAGCCTTAATAACGTAAACCATAATCACCAACTCATGTGTACGTAGGTGTAGAGCTCTTGCTTTCAAGCTCCATACAAGAAGACGCGTACATGATGTAAATGTTGGTGTGAAATTACGCGTAGGTGTAGGTGGTGACAAATTCCAATTTGGAAACGTATATATAGTAGGCAACGAGTAAGAGTGAAATTAGTAGTTAGCAAGAGATTTATAAATATTTTTTAGGATGGATACAAATAGATTAATAATATAATTTTTTTGAATGAGTGAATATAAATAAATTTTAAGATTAGTATCATCAATAAAATAATAAAATGATTATTATGTTAATAAAAAAACATTGACTATTAACTAATTAACAATATTCATCTAATCAAGAAATAATAAAATATCCAAAGTCAAAGTATCTCAAAAGAAAAAAGGAACCAAAATTAACAATTCAAATAAATGTTAGAAATAAAATTTGATATTATCTCTATGTAAAGGTACCGTGAGACGTTTCCTAAGCCTGTTAACTTAGCACGTTGATAAATAATGAAAATGCTCACGTGAGTCAGTCTTAATATACAGTTAAAAAATACGTTATTGGTTTTGTTATTCTTTAAATAATAAAATCGGTAAAAAATTATTGAAAATATTATTATTTTTCTACCGGTTTTGTTATTATTGGACGATTTACCGGATTTGATAAATCGCTACCCATTTTGTTATTTTTTTACCAATTTTATTATTATTTGACATTTTTACCGAAAAATATTAAAAAAATTGATATTTTAAATAATAATAATAATACCTTAAATAAGTTTTTATCTCTCAATAATAAACATCAATCAACAGTATCTTCATTTATTGCTTTTCAAGGCAGATAAGAGACAGGACACCTTCCTAGCAACCTTTTGAAAGTGGGATTAAAATTGGAGCTATTTTTATAAAATTTTCAAATTTGAAGGACCTCTTTTTTCCAATTAATGACAGCAAGGGCTTGGGGGGGCAAAAGCTGCATTTTCGTACGAGTAAAAGGAGATTTTCGTCTGAGCAAACACGCATACAAAGAGTGGGTGAAGCAGAGCTTTTAGTGGGGGGCAATGTGTAGATAATTGATAATAACAGGGCATTCAAGCCGCAATTTATTCCCAATATTTATCATAACTCAAATTTGTTGTACAGTTGGCACCCTTTATTGTCCCCATGTGTGTAATTAAGCCAGCTGTCACCCAAACCCTAAATCATATATTATATAGAGAGTAAATTCTATTATTTGGGTTTTATTTAAATTAACATTTACATTTTTTCACAATCAAATAAATGGATAATGTTTTTGTATAATACTTAAATTATTTATGATCTCAAGTCTCTTAATACATTTTGTTCTAAGATAATCATAGATCGAGTTAAGTTAAAATTTTAACCTATATAAGCGATAATTATATTATTATCTAAACTCGAATTCTTTTATCATAAATTTTTATAAATTTAAACTCAAAGATGATATATACATATTTGAATTTAATAATTAAGGGTTTGGGTGACAGTTGGCTTAATAAGTGTATTAATTAATTTTAGATAACAATAACATACGGAAAAAATCAATCAATAAATAAAATAATATATTAACTATATGTTAAATGAGTAGAATGCTCTTCACTAATAATTTTCCCTTGACAGTCAAGTCTCAAAGTGAGCCATAAACATAAACCAATCATTACTATTTACCACGTCTCCACTGCAAAATAAGTATTTATTGTGCAGACATTTGGTTTAATGACAGATTAATGTCATTATTTTTTTGGGTGAGTAAATAATTGACTCTCAAATTAATAAATAGAAAATTAGAAAAGATTAATAAAGTGAATTATTTAAAACAAATCCATTAATTGTTTGAAAGGTTCAAGATGTTCTGCTATTTTACTGTTTGTGAATTTAGTGGGTGGTTTGTGGAGAGCATTTGCCATTTTGCTTTGTGTGTAACTTGGTGAGTTGGAGGGTGTTGAGTCAAGAACGAACCGCGCGTGGGGAGACTCCTTGTATGGGTGGTGTTCAGCTTAGCCAGTGGCAGCGTAAATGCAATGGTGGTGGTTCGGGTGTTGACTCAGGTCGATCCTTCAACGCGGGAAAAAGAGGGTCAAAACCCTAGATTATTAAGGATATCTTAAAGAAACAGCTCCATGTGAATTCAATATCTTTTCCTGGGGTTAGCTTATGGAAGCCTAATCACTATTTTTTTTTTCAGTTGATCGAAATAAACCAAGTATTTTACCTTTGAACTTACGTCTCCAAAACCTTTTTTCGCGGCGGCGGAGCCTGAGCAAGTAAAACCAAGTCGCCGGCGATGAAAAACTAGATTGGGTCAGTGAGTTGGAAGGTGCAAAAGGGAGCATTGAATGACGTAGCTGGAACTGTCGGGAAGAAAGTCGACATTTTCATTCAATGTAGAGGCTTTTGAATTTTATCTAAGGTGATGAATCCCTTGAAATTAGGTTGAATTAGAATCTAATTCAACTAATTTTTTATGTTTGGTTTAAGTTTTTGCTTCAACAAGTGAATTTCATCATTTAATTCTCTTGTTAGAGGGGTTTGAAATTTGACCATACTACCCTCATCAATCTTTTGGTAACTTATTCATATATTAAATAAAAATATATTTTTATTATTTCGAGTCGGGTTTCTAATTCATATATTCGAGTCAGATCGGATGAAACTTTATTTCGGTCAGATCGGGTCGGTTTTTTTAAGTGTGATATTCGGGTCAGGTCGAATTTGGGTTTAGGGTGAAAAATACCCGAACCGACCCGACCAAAAAAATATATAATTTTACCTTATATATTTAAGAATAATTACAATAATACCCCTATATATTTTTTTCGTCATTATTTTTATTGAATAAAAATAATTTTTTTATTATTTCGGGTCGGGTCGGATTTCTAATTTATATATTAGGGTCGGGTGAAATTTTATTTTGGTCGGGTCGGGTCTCGGATGGAGGTTCCCTTGTTCTCGGGTCGGGTCGGGTGGACCAAAAACCCGACCCATGGCCATCCCTAATTAGAATGATTTTAACTTATGATATTTATTAACATGATTTTTATAATTTATTAAAATGAATAATCAATCAATAAAATTAATTTTTTTAAAAAAAAATTATAATATATTACTACATGTAATTTATAAAACAAACTAAAATTAAACAAAAAAAAGAAGGGCAATCATGTCATCTTATATTACTGAAATCAAATTTATCTAACATATTTGCGAACTAAACAGAATATGAAATTTCCAATTCAATTTCCTGCCAACCAAACAGAATATGGAATTGGATTCAAATTCCTGATAGATTCTAATTCCTTCATAGATTTCAGTTCTCTCAGAAACATTCCAGCGAACCAAACGTCACCTAAGATTTAAGTTTGTAAAGCCAATGAAATGACGCCAAGTGTCTAGAGGTTTTTAGATTAAAAATGAGTTTGTTTTCCAGCTTTGCTTTATTTGAAATATCACTAAAAGAAAATTTACAAGGCTTCTAAATTATTGCTTCTGTTTCATTAAAACCTTTTTATTTTTCATTTTTAAAAATAATAAATTAAATTTTCAAAAATACTCTTTCCCACTAAATATGTTTATTTTCATTTTTAAAATTGTATAATTTAAAATATTCTATTAAAAAAACAACAAACAACAACATTTATATATATATATATATATTATTCTTATATTACTTTTTTATATCTATCAAAATAAATAATCAAATATATCAATTATCTTTTAGAGATAATTTCTTAATAATATGTGTACAGTTAATATAAAATATAAATTATGAGACGAAGTAAAAGTTTGATTGAAATTTTCTTAAATTTTTTATTAATAATAAATTCTATTTTATAAGAAGTCAACATTATAAAAGTGTAACCAGAAAAAATATATAACAATTTTATTTCGATATAGAAAATGATTTTTTAATAAAATATTAATTTATAACACATAATCGGGTAACGTTAAATCTTTCGCATCAAGAGCACAGAGATGAATTTTGGACGTTTTTGGCTGGCATGATTGTGGATCGTCTTGATGCAATGATATCGTATTGGAAGGGCACGAGACCCGAACCCGATAGGTTTTGACTTGACTCATCCGATTCGACCGGTTAGATGGATTTTTTTTAAATTTAGATTCAGGTCAGGTAGGTATTTTAATGATGATGGTCGGGTCGGATTCGGATGATGAATTTGAAATGATCTGTATGCTAAGCTGTGTTTATCTTCTCAAATTCTTGTATTTATATCAAAGAGTTATCTGAAATAAGGCAATACCAAAACATGTGCAGGAGATACTACTAGTTCTTGATGGGAACACTGGATTGAATATGCTTCCTCAAGCTAGAGAGTTCAATGAGGCACTCTTTGTACCCTCGCTTCATCAAGATGCTAAGAAAAACTTGTTAAATGCTACTATCTTGTTATTGCACCTAGTTTCTGTTTCAGCTGTATTAACCTTCAATGTTGTCGGTTTGTTGTAATAACCGGTTTTATTTTGACAAAACTTGATGGTTCTGCTAGAGGGGGCTGTGTGGTATTCTCTCTTAAACAAGTTTCTATTTGCTTTCGGGGTGGGACGGGAGGGTATTGAGGGTTGTTTCCAAACTTTCAATTCACATTTTTTTGATCTATTTTCTTGCCTCGCACGGGGCAGTGTGGTTGATGAGGTTGGAATTCCTGTGAAGTTTGTAGGTGTTGGTGAAGGTGTACAAGACCTTCAACCGTTTGACGCGGAGGCATTCGTCAATGCCATATTTTCATGAGAAATATGGTTGGTGAAGTCATCAAATTACCTGTTAGGCCCGTTAATATATCTCTTCTGGTAACATGTATTAATCACCATATACACATTGTTGAATTAAACCAGTGCACTTTCTTCTTCTCCCCTAGGGATTTTATTCATTTGAGACCAATTCGGCCAATACGCCAGGCTTCTGGATGCATATTGTTGCAAGAACTCTGTCACAAGAGTACTTGTTGGGCCTGCAAGCTGGGATTAAACAGGTGGTTCAGATGCTTTAAGAACTTCGGCAGCACCATGATGATGTAATTTTTTGGTCTGTACATCAATTTCCCCTCCTAGTTTTTAAGCGTTTTGATATTGTCTTGGTTAATTTAAATTTTTTCATATATGTTATGTTCCCTCGAACATTGCCAAATTCATGTTTTCCCAATCGAGGCCTAAGATCATGATTGAGTCTGTTTTGCATTAACTATATAACCCCGCCCAACTATTAAGGGTGTAAATGAAGTATAACATTCATTTAATTTTGTCTATTAAGTTAAACAAATGAGTCTGAACAAAGTTTTTATATTTATTTAATAAACGAAATACGAACTGAACAAAACGAGTGTGCAACAAATATATTGACAAACATTGAACAAATATGTTTGCGAGTGTTAGACGAATATGTATGTAAATGTTAAATGAATCAAACATAAATTTTTTAAAAGCAATAAACAAACACAATATTAAAAATTTAAACGAAAACGAACTGAACATGGATACATTCAAAATTAAACAAACGAACAAGAACAAAAACACAATTTTGTTTATTTAAAGTTAAATTCATTTACACCTAAGTGAGCCTTCGATTCAGTTTCTTCAGCCATGGTCAAAGCTAGCAACTATATGTAAATAACTAGAAATATTATAAAGTACAGAAACTAACTTACAGAATCCTAGGATCCAATGTATTTCCTATCAGCATCCTTCATCATTTTTAACAAGAATTACAAAGAAACAGCATTTTTCTTCATTATTGATACATGATTGCAGCACAAGCATATTTATTTAGCAATACAAACACAAAGAAATAGAAGTGTTACAGGGGTTACATTACCAGCAGAGCCACAAATGACAAATATGTTCGATTTGGAAACTTCATAGCTTGGCAATGGGTGAATTATAGAAGGTAGCACGGCTACTATAGATCAGTTCCCCAGTCTTCCTCATTTGAACTCAACCAAAATTGCAGTTAAATTTCTTCCACTTCTAACCACAGATCCTTCAACAATCAACTCTGCCTGCACCATGAAACCATACGTGATATGAATTCAGTAAGCTCCTACGAGGACCGATTCTATGCACCGATGATTATTCATTTTTCCTGAAGTATTCATGTTTGATATTTACATTCACTATATATTCAGACATACGTAACGGTATGTCCGAATGTCCGATATGCCTATCCTGAGTCCGAGTAACATAGCTTAGCAGGGATGAACCTGAGGGGCCCTCGTCCCATTAAAAATTTCAAATTCTCATATAATTTTAGTATTTTCTATTAAAATTCTAACTTTAATAGAAAATTAGACAACATAAAGTTCATGAGTTAGCCCGAATGAGGAATCATTTAAACATCATAAAGTTCATAGCCTCATTGAAACATCAAATTGAGAGACATGCTAGGGTTCATTTATTTTCAATAAAACTGCAATTGAGATTTGGGGTTAACCAAAATCAGATATCAGAAATTGAAATCCCAAAGAACTTACATCTATGGGAGCAGAAGAGAGATAAGACGTAGCCAATTCACCAAGAAACATCTCCTTATCCTCACCCACCACTGTTCTGGCCGTCGCAATCGCCACTCTTTCTGCTATTGCTGCAACTGCCGATCCGTGCATCATACCATATAAGTTCTGCAAAACAAACCCCCAATAAAGTAAAAGAAAAAAAATCATATAATAAGTTCGATTAAATGGAAGAATGTTCGAAAAAATTACGGCGATGGTGGACTTGACGGTGGTGAAGCAGGTGACGTGGCCACGTCGTACGGTGTGCACCTTGAGGTGGTTGCATAAGAGATCGGAATAGAAGTTTTCTGAACTATAGTTTTCCGCTATGGGATTTTTGGAAAGCCCGACGCTTTCTAGGAAACGCATAACGATAGGCGTGAACGGCGGAGATCTCTCATCGGATTCCGGCTTGGTGGGACGATCGGAAGAAGAGGCTGCTGGAGGTTCCTGAGAAGCAGGAGGAGCAGATGAGGGATGTCCCATTTCTGTGCGTCCGTTGACGAGCGACCACTTGACTCAGAGAAAGATTTCTGTTTTAACGTTTTCTGAATTTATTATTAACTTTTAGGATAAAATATATAAATAGTCCCTGAACATTTAGAAAACTTTCTTGATCATCTAATTTTTGAAACTTATAAAACAATTATTTAATTTTTAGTTCATTTTCGATAAAATCTTTGCTGTAACCTTACGTTACATTAGTTTTGCTTACGTGACACTTAGCTGCCATTAACTCCTCCTCCTCCTCCTCTTCCCACTCACTTTCATCTGCAAGAAACCTTTCTTCTTCTGGTTACTACACGCCCTTTCATCTCCAAGAGCTTATCAGATTTGTTGTGTTCAATATCTGTTTGTTCAAAGCAAAATTATATTATCAGATATGATGTTTGAATTGATTGTATTTGCCCAAAAACTTCTTACTTCTCACTTTGGGTTTTTGCTTCTTCTTCTTTTAATATCGAAAATGAACAGAATTTGAAAATTATAAACAAAGAGAATTTTACCTCTTCTTTTTGGCTTTCCTTCTCTCTGTCTCTCTTGTTTAGTTCTTCAGATTAATGGGGTTTAGAATCGTACCCAATTTTAGTTTCTTGTTTTGAAGCTGAATTCTAATGCTTATTACCTCATATTGTTAAATGGGTTTCCCCTTTTCCATTCAGTAAACTTTTGTTTCATGCTCGCGATTCTTTATCTTTCTTTATGTAGTTAAATTCTCTCAGCAACCAAACATAATTTTTGTCTTCCTTGAACAACTTTTGTTGGCTATTGATATGTACAAATCAGCTATACAGAAACTTTTACTTCATTTCACGGCTCGATGATTAAAGAAAACATGACAACTTGCATTGTTTCAAAATCTTAGTAATTAAAGGATTTTAACCACAAAATTGCTTGTTTCAGGTGGTACCAGCATGACTTATGAAGAAAAAAATTAGTTACAGATATCATTGGCTTCTTTGTCCCCCCCCCCCCAAATTCACATTCAAATCTTCCTCTACAAAATTTGGATTCCTCTTTGAAGTTCCTGTTTTTCCTTTTTTTGAAGAGGTTTTCTTGTCTATTAGATGAAACACAAGTTAATGAATTATTGGGAACCAAAGCCAAAATTGAAGTTTCGATGATCTGAGTTATGTGAATTGAAGCATTGGGATTGAGAAAAAATGTTGGAGCATGAATTATGTTCATCTCGGGTGCTTTCGCCGTTTAGCGAAGAAAGTGGGGATGAAGAGCTTTCAGTTCTACCAACGCAAACAAGAGTTATTGTGACTGGAAACAAACGAACAAAGTCAGTATTGGTTGGTTTACAAGGTGTTGTCACTTGTCAAGAAAGCTGTGGGCCTCGGTAGTTGGCATTGGCTGGTATTTTTCCTTTTGCATAATGTTTACTTATATCTTTCCAATTGATATCTTTGGAGGAGGAGGAAGAGGACGTCTGTAAAAACTAACATGAGGCAAAGACGATGACCTTACTGAAAACGAAATAAAAGTTTGATGATTGTATTATAAGTTTCAAAAGTTGGGTGACCAAAATATAAACTTTCTAAAAGTTCAGGGATTATTTATGTACTTTAACCTAGTTTTTAATAAAATAATGGGAATAAATTTTGAAGAAAAAAATAAATGAAAACACTCAACTTATATTATTTATATATATTGATGGTGTATAATTTTACATATCATCACTAAATTAAATGATATATGGTAAAAAAATCAAATAAAAATTTTCAAATTCTTTTTTAATGATGTATCATCGACTTATATTTTTATATTGATCGTGTATAACTTTACACAAAATCATTTAATTTTGGGTAAACTATAAGTTAGTACTTAAACTATTACTTTTATTCTATTTTGATACCTAAACTTTATTATTTTTCAAAATCATACCTAACATTTAGTTTAGATATCTATGAATACAATTGTTCTAACTTTTACCAATCTATGACATTATCGCAATTAACAGACATCCGTGAATACAATTGTTCTATCTTTACTGATCTTACCCAATTCTTTTGAAAGGAAGACTTTATCAATGTAGAAGACAATAGGATGCAGCAACATAGTTTTGCATTATTATCACAATAAACAGGACCAGATGCTGCAACATAGTTTTGCATTATTACCACAATAGACAGGTACCTGTTAATACTGTTGTTCTGTCTTTTACCAATCTATACCCAATTCTCTAGAAAGGAAGAGTCTGTCAATGTACAAAATAACCGGACCGGAAGCTGCGACAAAGTTTTGCATTTGAATTATCGCCGATGCCTCATCTTCATTTAGTTTCTTCATTAGCTGTACCTTTGTAGGGAGGGCATACATCCCGGCAGCTACGGCTTTCCTGATCGCCCAGCCATGGTGCGGTGCAAAGACCTGAGCATACGCCTTGGAAGCTGGATCTTTCAAGGAATCACCCTCTGTAGCTAGAATTTGTTCAAATAGTACCCTGACCATGTCAAGACCGCGCTTCACTCTCAAAAGGTTTCTTGTATGGCTCCCAGCTTTCCTAACACAATTCCCTTCTATATCCCTATCAAGCATTGCATTTAGTGTCGTGATCAACTTTGATGCCTCTGCAAGGTCGCCAACCTTTGCAACATAATCCATTTCCGCAAACTTGAAGGCAATGCCTAAACAACCGAAGAGAGGAGAAACGAAAGAACATGCACGTGAAAAGGGGGCCACTTCAACATCAGCCGTTTCCGAGTTTACCATGGCAGCAAGTTCCTTGAAGGCATCAGCAATTTTTCTGAGCGTCTTATCGCCCTCCACGTTTGCCATTTCTGATCTGTCTCTGATCCTTCATATTTCAAAATATTTTGATCTTATAATCACTTTAAAAAACACAAATGAAATCTAACATGTTTGGAAGAGAGACAACATAGTAACATTAACAAACCCTATATTCCAGGTCTAAATTAACACAAATTGATCTTCTTATTCTCAATCCTTTTCAATAATCTTACCATGTCCTACAGTGCTGCACTACGACTCTTCATTTCACAATTTCATGCGCTTTTCATTTTACAATTTATTCTCTCTCAAAACAACAAAATGCCAAAAATAAGATCTTGAGCTACACGATCTACAACATGAAAAAAAAACGAAGTCAAACAACAATCAGATCTACCACACAAAATTCCTCAAGGATTTTAATTAGGCAGCTCGAAAAGTGAAACTAGAGGGGAAAACAGTTAAATTCAAAGATTATAGAAACCTCAATTCCCTTCCTTATCACATATTTTCACGGAAAACTAATCAAAGAAACATGAAAGCGTAACATTAAAATAATAAAACAAAAAAATATGTTGATCAGAGTACGAATTTACCTTCTAAAGCTGCGATTACTTGATTTTGGGAAAGCCGAAACCCTAGTTAGAGCCTCTGCTATATTTTTGCAAACGGGACCAAAATGAAAAAGCTCGTGAGAATGAGTGTAACGACTCTGGTGTATTCTCAACTCTCAAGTCCTTCACGTTTGAGATATTTGCGGAAGTAGCAATCGTAGATTCTATAGAGTAAATGGTTTAATTACTCGTTCGATCCTACTTCTATTCCATATATCATTTTAAATTACTTAATTTAATAAATTTCTCAGCTAAAAATATGTTTTTATTTGAAAAATAAAATACATGTTTTAAAATAAAATTCATTTTCATTTCAAAAATGAAAAAAAAACCCTTTGAAAATAATAATAAATAATTTTGAAAATATATCTTTATACAACAAGTCAAAACGTGTTGATATGTATATAATTATTTATTAATATTTTTAATTTTGCAGATGACGATGAATAAACAATAAAAGATAATAAAAATATACATATTTATGTGAAAATTCTAAACAAAAAACGATTAGAGAAAAAATTACACTATAATAAGTGATGAAATATATAAAATAAATAATAAAATTTGTATTATTTAAATTAAAAAGGAATTTTAATAATATAAAATGTATAAAACAAATATTTATATAAGAGTTTGCAGTCAAGGAAGCAATTTTTTTTATTATTTTAAAGTTTAATTACATGCTCTATCATGTATAATAATATAAAATGTAGGCATTTCTGGAATTGACTTGAAAGTTGAATCATAATTTTATAGGGGCTACTTTGTAATATTGATTAATTACATCAACCATGTTTCATTTTAAGATAGAAAAATAACTTAATTTTTTGTGTCAATATAACATATCCATGGAAGAAACTTATTTTTTTTCTCTCAATATTTTTGTATCGTTTTCTTTTTGTTCTTTTATTTTTTGATTAACCGACGACGACACCAATCTTAATATTAATTGCAGACTGTCAGTAATTTTTTTTCATATTATATTTTTATTTTTTCTTGAGTTTTTTCACTTTTAAATAAGATTCTCTGTCCTTGTGGCACACTTTTCTCTTCTCTTGTGGCACACTTTTTCTCTGCTCTTGTGGCATATTCCTTGTGGTTTTCGATAAGTTTTTCGCATACTTCTGCGGTCGTGTTGGTGCTTCCACAAAAGTCCTCACGGTATTTATTTTCTGATTGCCTTGTCGGTGGTCACGTATTGTCAGGTCCCTCTTTTGTAAATTTTTGTTTGCTGATATAATCAGAATTGTGTAGCGAAACAGTCTGTTAAATTTTTTTAATTCGCTCAACACTCTTTTATCACATCGTAAAATATCTCGTTCGATAGAGACAATAAATTTTATGAAGGTTACATGATAAAGTAAGTTTGAAGCTTCTTACATTCTCTTCAAGTTATGCCGATGGCATGTTGTGCAAAATCTAGCTTTTCTAGTACCTGTAGCTGCACACTTGTTCTTGATTGGATAATATTAATTATTATAGAAGGTAACCTTAAACCCTAAACACTGTTGCAGTGAGGAACCTTTTGGGATACTCCTTATTTTAGGTTTAGGGATGGCAAAAAAATTCGAACCTAACGGAGAAAATCGAAAATCGAATTAAACGGGTTGGGTTTGGGATGATAAACGGGGACGGGGACGGGGACGGGGAAAACCCATTTATTTTAAACGGGGAAGGTAATCCCCGCCCCGATTACCCGATTACCCGCCCCGATTATCCGCCCCGATAAATATTAAAAATAATTATATATATATATATATAATATTAATAAATTTAATTTAAATAAAAAATATATTTAATTTAAATATATATATACACCCGGCCCGATTCCCGACCCAATACCCGTTTAAATAACCGTTTATGCTAAACGGGGATACTCATTTCCTCGCAGTTTTCCCCGATTACCCGATGGAGATCCCCGTTTAAATCCCCACAGTTTTTTTAAACGGGGACAGGGACGGGAGACCAATACCCGGCCCAAACCCGGCCCGTTACCATCCCTATTTAGGTTGCTGAAGATAAACATTGATGCCATACGTCTCTGCTTGCCGTCTTAATTCAATATATTAATTGCAGCTACTATGTTTTCTGTTTCCTGATCCAGTTAAGCTGCAAAAACGAGCATATCTTCAAGCCCAGATTTCATTAACGGATGCAATTCTTTAAACCCAGACAGAATTTACCCATTTTGGAAATTGATGAAAAAAACCACAGCCAAAATCAGTTCAAAGACTATGGTTACAAGTGAAAATTTTCTCTTCTAGTAGCTTAAAAAGAGGAAATTCTGAGACTGGCATTAATGGCTAATAGCCTAAATATCAATATAAACAAAATTCATTTGATCTAACCCACCATTTTTTTTTTGGCAAAGATGAAATGAAGGAGCTGAAAACTGTTGCAAGGCTAGACATTGCTGTCAAATGATAGCCCTGCTGCTCTCTCTTTTTTTTTCCTTAGGAATGAAACCTTGTCCTTTTGATGAAAGATTTAGTGTGTCATTTTGTATCTCAGATTCAGATCATTTTACTGACAGATTCTTAATGTTTCTGTGATCTTAAAATCAATGATTTTAAGATCAATCGGCAATGCAATATTTTCCGCAATTTCAAAGTTGTTCAATATAAAAGGAGACCAAAACCTCGTATAAAAGCAAACATAAATGCTAACCCTTAATTCTTCTAAACCTAGACCTACTCAGTAAGGCTTTTACGCCGACACCAACTCCTTCAAATCCCAAGTTAATGGATTCATCAATGGATGGCGAGGTAGAACCCAAAGAAAAGCATGGGTTTTTCGTGGCCGTCCATGTCGGCGCCGGATACCACGCCCCTTCCAATGAAAAAGCTTTAAGGTCGGCTATGAAACGCGCTTGCCTGGCTGCTGCTTCCGTTCTCCGTAAAGGTCCCGGTGGATCTGTTGATGCTGTTGCTGCGGCTATTCAAGTGCTCGAGGTAAATAAAACCCAATTTCTCTCTTTCTTTCCTTTATTTTTCCTGACAAAATACTGGTCTTTGGGTAGGATCCATTTGAATTAAAAATGGTTTTTTTTGGGGTAAAAGGATGATCCCAGTACTAATGCTGGCAGAGGCTCCAATTTGACTGAAGATGGCAATGTGGAATGCGATGCAAGTATTATGGATGGTCAATCTGGCGCTTTTGGGGCTGTTGGAGCTGTGCCTGGTATTTGTTTTTTGTTTTCATTTTGATCAAATTTCGTATTTTTTTGTTGAAGTTACTCGGTATCCATTTTGTTAAGTTTTAGACCAGGTGTTCCAAATGCTATTCAGATTGCTGCTTTGTTAGTAAAGGAACAAATGAAAGGGTCTCCTTTGTTGGGTCGAATACCTCCCATGTAATTAACAACTGCTATTATAAGTATTCCTCTTTTGTCAAGTTTTCTTTTTTATTGTTGTTGCTATTGTTTCCAACTATGGTCTTTTTTATGTTTCCCCAAGGTTCTTGGTCGGTGAAGGTGCTCGTCTATGGGCAAAATCTAAAGGCATTGCCTTCCCGGAATCTATGGTTGAGGCTAATCAGGTGTTTGGGGTTTCCTGCAATTTTGTGTTCATTTTTCTTCTTAATAGTTCTTATACAATGTATGTTTTCCAATAGATCATTTGTTTCTTTAGTAAAATTTTCTTGTTTCTACATCAAAATAGTGGTTGGTGACACTGAAGGCGAAATCACAATGGAAACATTACAAAGCAATGCTACTTGGTGCCAAGGCTGAGATTGATTTTTCTTCTGTAGGAAATCCTTGTAATGCACAGCACAATGCATCAACGCAAGGTATTCAATGGCTCTCGGATATTAAAAATGATTCATTTTTTCCATTTCCGAGCGAATAATACCTTTTCATTGATTATATTTAGTAACTTTACTTGCTTATAGATTTGACCTCTTATTCCTCCTTACGTTTGCTTCCTAATACACTATGAACTTTGTTCTTGTTGCACCCTTTTGTATAAAAAAATTTATGTCAATATCAGCCTTTGCACCAAGAAGCATTGCTTTGTAATGTTTCCATTGTCCTCTCTACCAGCATTCATGATTTTACTGATATCTGATTGCTTACAATACTGCTGTTTCTTCGAGTCTCTTCTGCATGTACTTATATTTGATCATTATCTTTTAAGATTTGCCCCACTTAAGTTTGGAATTATATTTCATATCAATAAGCTTTGACAAGATTGTGCATCTGTACGTCAGCCTCGAATGCTCAAACTTGTGATACCTTGGTGGAGAACAGTGGCGGTCAATCATGTACGCTCAGCCCATCAGAAGAGGACAATATCATGGACACTGTTGGAGTTATTTGTGTTGACACTGAAGGAAATATAGCATCAGGAGCCTCAAGTGGTGGTATTGCACTGAAGGTGATAATTACTTGTCGAAACTGTATTCAGACGAATCTGTATTTCTGAATTTCATTCTTCTTGGAGGCTGTATAATTAATGAGACATGTTCCCCACAAAATTATGGCAGGTCTCTGGTCGTGTGGGATTAGCAGCAATGTATGGTTCAGGCTGTTGGGCCTCATCGAAAGGACCCTTTGGGGCTCCTTTCATAGTTGGTTGTTGTGCTACCGGTGCCGGAGAACACCTAATGAAAGGATTCACAGCTCGGGAGTGTTGTGTCTCATCATCACTGTAAGATTCTTTAACAAAAACATGTCCCCTTGCATGACAAAAGTTTCAGTCGTCTTAAAAATGGACCTTGATAGGGTTACTTCCATGCTTAGTTCACAGGCAGGTCCCGCCTCTGCTTGCACAAAAGTTCTTCGCCCCATTGTTCATGATAGCGGTCAAGCTGATAACGATAAAAGTGCTGGGATTTTACTTGTGCAAGCCGATGCTCCTATTTGCGTGAGATCCCGATCAAACCGCAATATATCTTTTTCTTATCACATTTATCGATTTAGTGTTTAGGTGTGGATTTATCCGTTTAGGTCCCAGGAAATCCGGCAAAACTGAAAGCCATAGAGATTGCAGCTGCTTACTCTTCCTTGTCTTTTGGGATAGGATATTTTGGTAGTGCCATGGAAAGGCCTAAGGTATGATTCTTGCTACTTATTAGAGTTGAGATATTTATTAATCTCCATATATTG